AAATCTAAATCACTTGAAATTTGAAGGTCATTTTAAAAAAATAGGCAAATCTAATATAAATATTAAAAAATAATTCAAAAATTTAAATAGACCAAAATACCCCTATAACTTTCAGGGTTATTTTGGTCAATTTATTTTTTACGAACTATTTTTTTAATATATTTTTTAGATGTACCTCGATGAGAAGTGTGGATGCCCCAAATTTCATGTAATTTTAATGGAAAAATATCTCCGTACCCTCTATTTTTAAGTTTCATTTGCATAGACCCAAGGTTTTAAAAGATATCTTAAGGTATAAGAATTATAGATTTTATTCTTCTAACCCCCTTGAGCTAATTTAAACATGTTTTTTTAGGCCAAACAAATCTAAAAATACATGTATTTTCTAAAAGCCATTCTCCCAAACTTCAAGAGAGAGAGAGAGAGAGAAGGGTTTCATGAAGGTGAGAGGTTACTGGGGGGAGAGAGAGAGAGGTGTTGGAAAAAGAAGGGAGGAGAGAGAGAGAGAGTGAGACACATGAAGAAAGAGAAAGAGAGAAGTTTGGGGTATAGAAGTGAAGAGAGAGAAATGATTGGGTTTAGAAAGAGTTTGCCTTTCACACATTTGTTTAGGTTACAAAATAGCTTTAAAATGGCTAGGGGGCTAGAATATATCTTTTAAAACTTTGGGTTTCTCAAGAAATAAAACCTAAAATTAGGAATTATGGAAATATTTTCTCAATTTTAATTTGTATTTAAAAATATTAAAATTTAATTATAAAATGTAATTATGACTGTTAGATTGGTCAAGATTCAATCTTGGCCATTGGGTTTTACACTATTCCATCAGCCCATAGGCCATTGGTCAAATTTGAGTTACTTTTTAGAGGTCTACAAGGTTAGGACTTTAGGATATCAGTTTCAAGTTTTAGGTGTCAGATTGGTGTCTGGGGTAGCTTTCTATATTTCTTAGACTCAGGGGTATCTAATCTAAGATGATAATCTTGGTCAATTTAGATAATTTTTTAGCCTAATTTTAGGTTCGGAAAGGTGACTAGATACAAGGTTGCAGGTTTTGGGGAATTCTAATGGGTCATGTTCACTAAGTTCAATATGGTTGGACTCATAATTTGAGGTTCATAGAAATTCTATTAATCAGACCGGTTTCATCCAAATCCACAGTCTGGATGGGAAATTACCAGGGTTTAAAACAAGGGTGCGGTTTGTATAGAGCTGAGGCTCTAAACGATCAAAGTAAAGCGCACCTTCAAATAGTATCAAGAAATGGTTTCAATACTGGAAATCTTTGTGATAGCCTTAAATATATTTTTGTATTTAACTATAAAATTTAAGGCTTCAAATATTAGATTGAGCAGATCTATGAAAAATTGAAAATCTTGAAAATTGACGGTCCAAAAATGCGTTACAAAATGCACTATTGCCAAACTTGATGTCAAGATGTGAAATCCATTTTTTTCTCATGTCCATGCATCTTGGTGTCAAGATGAACGATTTGAGGATATTTGAGCATAAATAAATAAATAAAGAGTAATGATCCTATGAGACCCTCCCACATCAGTGTGTGTAGGACCCCAAAGAATCACCATTAAATTTGACACAAGTCTCTAAAAAAATCAAGTCCCACTTTGATAACTTTTATAGAGATTTGTACCAAATTTAATGGTGATCTTTTAAGATCTTACACACATCATAGGATCATTACTCATAAATAAAACCTCTTCTAGTGAAATGTTTGAGGTGGGCTTTAATTTGATTGTTTAGAGCCTCGGCTCTATATAATAATTCGTGTATACTTTCATCTATACTTTATTTAAAAAACCGAATCTAACTCTTTTCAAATTAAAACCGGGAGGCATGCAACTCGAGATGACTCTACATTTCTAAAATCTCGAGATTACAAAACCCTACTTCATTTGATTTCATATATTCACCAACTTCCACAATTTTACCATTTCTCTATCTCTCTCTGTTTTGTAAAGTAATTTTTCCTTTCCCCACCATCATCACAGGGTGAGCAATCTTGAGAGAGAGAGATTTAGGCTCTGAAATGATGAGCCTCTCTATTTCTTCATTTGTGTGCTAATCAATTAGAGTGGAACATATGTATGACTTTATTTGGAGGTTTAGTTTGATATTCAAAGATTTGAACTGTTCTTGAACAGCTCTTTTCCAGCACGTCTATTACAGTGAAGGAATTCCATTCCCCTCCACCGTATCAGTAGATCCTCTAACTTTATGCATAGAGTAGGAGACCATCCAGGACATTATCTCAAAAATGGAGAGAGAGAAGAAGAGGCATAGGAACACTGCTCAGACAACCAATGACACAGTGCAAATAATCAATGGTGGTGGTTCTGACCGCTTAAGGGAATTGCCTAAGCCTATTCTTTATTCAATTCTTTCCCTCTTGCCAATCAAAGATGCAATAAGAACATCAGTCCTATCCCATAAGTGGAAGAATGTTTGGACCAAGATTCCCCACTTGAATACAGATCTGCAATCCGTGCTCCCGAGGAGATTTCCTTATCGTAAAGCTACCAAGAAACACGAAAGGTTTATCTATGGCGTAAATCGAATCTTTATTCATCGCAAGAGCTTGATTCAAAGGTTTAGCATAGAGGCTGACTTCTGTCTTTGCCACAATGCTCTGGATATGTGGATCTTTCTCCTAGTAGACAGAAAGATTGAGGAACTCTTTCTCTGCAACCAGCGTCTCACGAAGGAGTCCAACAAAGTTTATGAGGTACCCAATCTTTTGCTCAATTGTAAGTCACTGAAGTTGTTGGAGATTGTTGATTGCAAGCTTAAACCTCCACCCAACTTTAAGGGTTTCAGCAATATGAGGACTCTCAAGCTCAATCAATGTGTACTAAGGGATAGCTTGGTTCAAGCCATATTGAAGTCTCCACTTCTTGAGACACTAGACTTCTGTGATTGCAAGCTAGAACCCAGCTCCAATTTTGTTTGTTTTCCTAGAGTAAAAACTCTTAAGTTTAACCGATGCGAAATCGCAGAGATCCTGATTGAGAGTATACTTACAAAATCTCGTTGTCTTGAGTTCTTATTAATAGATGATTGCTGGGGTTTCAACCATATTTTGGTTAGTCTTCCGAATCTTCGAGTGTTACATGTTAAGTGTGCAGTCACTGTTCATCTTGAGAAAACACCAAAGCTTGAGGATGTTTTACTTTCACCAACTTTTCTTTGTAAAGAACAGGAAGATGATTATAGAGCAGCGCTCTCTGACCGCAAAATCTTTTGGGGTCATTTGCTGCGTGTTGAAACCCTTTCCCTTGGATCTCTCATTATAAGGGTAGCTGCTTCTTTCTTCATGCTCTTATTAATGTTCGCATATTATTGATTGTGAAGCTATATATGTTTTGACATGTTCTCTTGGATCTAGGGCCTCGGTTCAATTGCCATTAATTGGTATTCTGTGGGGACATTTGAGAATTTAAGCAAGTTAGAGCTGGGAATTTTACCTATCGAAGAAAAGGACAGAAGCATGGTTTCCAACTTGCTTCGTGTTTCTCCTTTTATAAAGAAACTCATTGTTGGGGTTAGACTTCTTACTCCTCAAAACCTTAGCTTTGCCTTATGCTTTATTGTTCCTAATTTGTTATTTTCATTGTAACTGATCATGCGCTCTGAGTTTTTGTTGCCATTACAAAGAAATGCAGGTCTAGTCATGACAAAATTGAAAGTGATAGCTCTGAGATATTCAAATTTGAAACTCATGGTACTTCGGTGTTTATTTTGTTCCATTTTCCTACATATGACTCTGGTTCTGTGGTGCAGGATGACCCTCACAGGCATGCAATTGAATCTTATTGTGAAGACAAGTATTGGGAGACCCAAGAATCTTGCCATTGCCTCATGAAACATCTTGAGACCATTCACATATCAGTCTCAAGAATCTACCTCCTGCATAGGCTGTATGGTAGGCCAGGTTATGAAATCGCAAGAGCAGGGCCTATTTTTGATATGGAATTTGCGAAATTCTTACTTGGCCATTCGTGTGTGTTGAAGACAATGAGAATCCATATGCGTTTGCTGTCCCATAACCGGAAGGAAGACAAGGATGTGATCAGAGCAGATCTCATGCGAGTTAAATGGGCATCTCCCGATGTCAACTTAATATTCCCTTGAATTTGTGGAGATTTTTTCCAAATGAACTACTAGCAATATTGGACGTGCTTACTGCTGCACATGGATTTTCTAGTTTTCTGTGATCGTTTCATACTTCAGAGAAAATAAAATTACTCAGTCTTCTAAAACAATTATCATAATATCTCTGTCTTATATGATGCTAAATATATTCTTAATTTGTTTTTGCTGTCCGTCGATTGGTTTTCTTTCAGGCAAATAGTTTGGAACTTCATATGAATTTAGGCAACAAAGTAGATTTAGCATTGACCTGAGAATGTTTGAAAGTACAACTTTTTCTTCAAATGCATTTTTAGGACCAACACAATATTTGTTAACTTGTTTACCTCGTAGAATCACATTTGCAATGACGAATTGGAATGGGAATAAATATATTACGCAATTTCTTTCAGGATGGTATACAATGAGACCATTTACCTTTGATACAAGGAGGCGACAATTACTTACAACCATGCGATGAAAAAATTTATTTTGAAGTTTGAGTTTGGTCGATAGAATAAATGCAACTATTTAATTTCACATCCAATGGTCAAGATCAATTGTGACTATCTTATATCAAAGATAAATGGTCTCACTATATACTTTTCCATTTCTTTAACCTTGATCATGATATTTATGAGTGACACAGTCATTTAGAATCATAAAATATTAACAGAGGCATAAGACTAGAGACAATTGTACTTATATACAACTGACCAGATTGGGTATCAGGCTCCCTAGAGGAGGGCTGTTAAGGGGCCCTAGGCAGCTTTAACCCAAAAACATGCGTATTGCAAGTTTGGGTCCTAAAATGTAGTTTCCAGCCCAATCAAATTCATGATAATGAGGCCTGAGCTTGGCTCAGGTACCTGGGGCCAGGCATGGATTGATATGGCCCCAAAATATTTTAGGTCCTTAACGAACTTGTGCCCAGCTTGCATGCCTGAACATGCAGCTTGAAACCAAGCCTGGCATTAAAGCACATGGGCTTACAAGGTCAGTTAACAGCCCTACACTAAAGTCAACCAAGAAGAGAATACAACTAGTTGACCTACCCATACCCAGAAACGGTTTTTATGAGTGTGTAGAAATGAGTCGCCTCTTTTTTTTTTTGGGTAATTAATGAGACGCCTCTTAGAAATCTATTTTTGATTTTTGGACTTAGTTTTTAACGACATGTAATCTCTAACATGAAGATCATGAAAATAAATAAGTAAATAAATTTTAAAAATTAGAAATAATAATTCTATTAAAAAAACATTTAAACTGTTAGTTTCAATTATTTGTAGATTGACCATCTATTTGCATTCATTTTTAAAATGGATGCTTTATACTTTGGAACCGCATATTGTAGAAATGTGGTCCAACACGCACGAAACAATTTTCCTAATTTGAACTAATGTTGTTGGGAGTGGTCCGGTGACCAAAAAGTGAGGCCATCTATTCGGTCAAATCACCTGAACCGGGTCAGTTCACCGGTCAGACTTGTCCATGGAATTAAATAATTAATAAAATTACTAAGATAAGGGAAATTTGGGAAAATAGGGAAGATTTTGGAAAATTAAGAAACAATCTACATAAACAAAAAAAATTCATAAAAATAGCAACAAAAATAATTTATCAAGGCTCAAACCGAAATTGAAATCCATTGTTTAAATTTTCAATCTTGTTTTCTCTTCTCCTTTTTTTCTATTTTTTGCACTTTTCTTTTTCTTGTTTTCATTTGCTAAAATGAAATTGAAAGAAAGTAAAAAAATTGTCCTGAATGTTTTTCTTTTTTGTTTTTAAAAATAATCTTCCATGTGATTTTTTCGAAAATATGAAAATACACATGACAAACTTCAAAAATTTTAAAGGAAAAGTATAAAATAAGACCATTTATATTTTGCACAAGGTGGTCACAATTAATCTTTTGTACAATCTCATTTTTAAAAGGGTGCGGTTTGTATAGAGCCTAGGCTCTAAACAAACAAATAGTAGCCTCGAGAAATGTGGTTTCAATATTGGAAATCGTCATGATAGCCTTAAAATATCGTTTTATATTTATTTATAAAGTTTAAAGCGTCAAAACTAGTGTAGATCGACAGATCTATGAAAACTTGAAAATCTTGAAAATTGACGGTCCAAAAATGTGTTATAAAAGATACTATTTCTAAAACTTGAAATCTATTTTTTTCTCATGTCCATGCTTCTTGATGTCGAGATGATCAATTTGAAGATATTTGAACATCAAAACAACCTTTTCTAGTGAGATTTTTGAGATAAGCTCAAATTTGGTTGTTTAGAGCCTCGGCTCTATATAAACTTTTCCCTTTTAAAAAATACAAAATTCATTCTCTTTTTTTTCTTTTTCATTTACTTTTTTAGTTTTTCCTTTTTTTTATTTATGTTCATCTCCATGTAGAAATTGAAAAAAAAAAAAAGAAAACAAAAAAAAAAAAGAAACAAAACAAAAAAAAGAAACAAAACAACAACAAATAAGTAAAAACTGAAAGAAAAAAGCCCCAACCATGTTTATGTTTTCTTCTCTTCTGGAATACTTCTTTTCTTTGTTTATTTTTTTTTAAAAAAAAAATCTGATGACACAAAGAAAAATAATAATATAAAACTCAAAACATAGAAGTTATTTCTCTATTTTTCTCTCTTTGGTGTTTTTCAATTATTCATCTTTTTTTA